AAGAATGCACAAATGTTTCACTTAGAGGGAGGGGTATTATTGTATAAGGTAATGTTCTGAAAGGGTTAATGATGGATACATGCTTAAGGCACCACACAAGCAAACATCTTGGGTGAAGAAAAGAAGAGTTTAGCTCTGGATCCCAATGAGAGCAGACATACCACTCCTAGCTTTTAGCCTCAGTAATTATGTCTAACTAGCCAATGTAACTTGTACCTTCCGCTTGCACACAGTAAATGAGGTCTTGTCGTTAAGTCAAGTGTCTCCTGGTGGTTCAGCCCCTATCACTGTTAACCAAACATGCCAATGTACCCAGTATAGAAAGGAGGATGAGTGGCAGCACCCATGAGCTGGTAGTGGTTGGTTCTGCGGCAGATACAACTTGATCTACCCAGAGTGATTTGCTCCTTGTATGTTGTAAGATTCTCAGATTCTAACTCGGTGCGATTTGGGCGATGGAACATTACCCTGATACAGGATGCAGGCTCATCCCAAGTTGGAACTTCTGTTTGGGCAGGCTACAGGGCTGGTCCCCTTGCTATCTACACTTCATCTGAAAGCAGAACATGAATGTTACAGGTGGGAATTTATTATATCCATCAAGAAAGGAGCTACGTGGGTCTCAATCTTGTGCATTTTTAAAATCAAGCTGTGGAAGAAATTGTTAACTAAGTATTGTTAATAGCGATTCATATTTATATCTCTTTATTCAACTGATTGGCCTCTGACGTTTGAAATTGAGACTATATTCACTTTTTCACCTAATATTTATTGTATGTGGCTTTACTGCCTCTCATCATTTATTATTTTCATTTGCTCCTCATTTTGGCCATGAGGTTCCCGGTGCAGGGCGAGGGAAAGGGAGTCCCAGTGCAGAGCAAGGGGATGGGAGTCCCGGTGCAGCGTCAAAGGAAGGGAGTCCAAGTGCAGAGCGAGGGGAAGGGGGTCCCGGTGCAACGTGAGGGGAAGGGAGTCCCGGTGCAACGTGAGGGGAAGGGAGTCCCGGTGCAGCGCGAGGGGATGGGAGTCCCGGTGCAGCGCGAGGGGATGGGAGTCCCGGTGCAGCGCGAGGGGATGGGAGTCCCGGTGCAGCGCGAGGGAAAGGGACTCCCGGTGCAGAGCGAGGGGAAGTGAGTCCCGGTGCAGAGCGAGGGGAAGTGAGTCCCGGTGCAGAGCGAGGGGAAGGGAGTCCCAGAGCAGTGCGAGGGGAAGGGAGTCCCA